AATGAGGATAAAAGGGAAGAGTACAAAAAAAAAAAATAGTCTGAAGCTCAACATAAAAAAAAAAAAACTAAGATCATGGCCACTGGTCCCCTGACTTCCTGGCATATAGAAGTGGAAGATATGGAGGCAGTGACAGATTTTACTTTCTTGGTCTCCATGATCACTGCAGAAGGTGACATTAGCCATAAAATTAAACGATGCCTGCTTCTTGGGAGGAAAGCGATGACAAACCTCGACCGCATCTTAAAAAGCAGAAACATCGCCTTGCCGCCAAAAGTCCAAATAGTCAAAGCTATGGTTTTTCTTGTAGTGATGTATGGAAGTGAGAGCTGGACCATATAGAAAGCTGACCGCCAATTAAGTGATGCTTTTAAATTGGGATGCTGGATGAGGCTCTTGTGAGTCCCCTGGACTGCAAGGAGAACCAACCTATCCATTTTGAAGGAAATCAATCCTGAGTGCTCACTGGAAGGACGGATCCTGAAGCTGAGCCTCCAATACTTTGGCCATCTCATGAGAATAGAAGACACCCTGGAAAAAACCCTGATGTTGGGAAAGTGTGAAGGCAAGAGGAGAAGGGGATGACAGAGGACAAGATGGTTGGACAATGTCACCGAAGCAACCAACATGAATCTGACCCAACTCCGCGAGGCAGTGGAAGACAGGAGGGCCTGGCGTGCTCTGGTCCATGGGGTTATGAAGAGTCGAACACAACTAAAAAACAACAACATAAGGCAATGCAGAGGAGGTTTCTCAATCCACAGTAGAGCTTCATATGGCTTTCCTTTTATCACAGCTGATCTGTTCTGTTTATTTCCACATCAGCAAAATGTTGAAGGAGTTTACTGGTGCAAAAGTACAGAAATATAGCATTAAATTTTAAAGGGCAAGTACCCATTGTGACAGTTCCTGTAGTCACAGCCCTAAAGGCAGTCAAAAATGCAAATTATATGTTGATCTGTATCAACACAACAGTTCTAGCAGTTTTCATTTCCAGCAGCAGAGGTGGATGTTTTGTAAACCTAAAGTTTCTTAGTTGTCTATTGAAAACCAAACCACCCCAAAACATTTGACCTTACAGCTAGGATAGCTCTCAATAATATATGGTTGCAAGGTGAATTCATTTTGTGGATTTTGACGATGGCACCTAAACCTTAGAGTTAAGATAGAAGCCTTGTGCAGCTTTATCAGTGACACCATATTTCAGGTCAGCATAAATATTATGATTTCAGATTATTTACTTCAAGTTAAAACTGCTGGATAGCTCAGTGGTTTAGGTGTCTGGTTGTGGGGCTAGAGGTTGAGAGTTCAGTTCCCCGCTGAGCCTCCTTAAGTGGGCTCAATGATCCATAGGGTCCCTTCCATCTCTGAAGTTCTGAGATTATATTAGTATTATTTTAATCAAATGATTTGATCACAATTATGGGTGTAGAGCTTTAAGAGTGAGCGTAAGGCTAAAGTACACAAAAGAGGCTTTTAAAAATTATACAGATGTCTCACTAGATTCAAATTTCTGAAGCCTTCCATTTTCACAAGTTTATCTGGGTATTCTGGGCAGATGCCCTCCATCTGCTGGTGGCTCATTTCTCTACTGGTGGATGGGGAATGTCATCCCCCCCACACACACTCTCTGGCCAGTGCATCTGTGAGTTTTGGTTCCTCTGTCAGATTGACTCAGTGCAACAGTCTGATGTTCTGGTGCAAAGCAGAGCTAGGGATAATTTGGAATAATTCCATCATACTATGTTATGATCTGCTATGGCTGTGTTCATATCTGAGGAAGAAAACTGTGGTCAGGCAAGCAAGGGATTCTGCAGCAACTTCAACCATTACAATTCATTTTATTTTATAAAAAGAAGAAGAAGAAAGGAAAAATGTGTATGTATGGCTACCAGACTCAGCAGATTTTAAAATGCCTACAGCATAATAAAGTTTATTTTTAATATGTCACAGTATTTTGATCTAAATTATGTTGTTTATAGTATTGAAGAAATAAC